AGTCTGACCCTCCGGTGGATAGGGAGGGGATGGTCCTTGCCCCCGCTCTGTGAGATGCTGCCTCCTGGCCCCTTTCCCCTCTCCCCATCGCAGGACGGCAGCTTGCCCATCCTCATTGGTTTCCCCAGTTCAGTGCAGAGCCTGGTGGAAATATTTGCTTCACCAGTGCAAGATGCAAGTGTCCCCAGTGCTGCTCCCCCTTGGCCGGGAGTTGCCCCCATGGCCCCCTCTGCCCGTGTCCCCCGCTGCCCCGCCAGCCTGGCTCCTTATCCGGCCACAAAACCACCTCCCAGCAAAAGTGGAAGCAAGTGCACCGGACTCGCGATGTAGCAGCAGCAAACTGTTTGCTTGGGAGCTGATAACCTTGGGCCAAGGACAGAGCGAGCAGCTGGAGGAGGGTGCAAACCTCCGAAGCGGCTGTCATCAGCTCCACCGGGCTTCTTGCGTCAGCCGGCTGCACCCTGAGCAAGGCATGGGGGACATCAGCTCAAGCAAGCACTTTATGAACGCAGCTTTCCAGCCCCGGGGCTGGGGGCAAGCAGCTGTGCTTTGGCACAGGGACTTGCGGCACGGACCCCTTTGAGCATCTGGTGGGCGCAGCGGTGGGCTGGGTTCCTGCTTCTGCTTGGCCCCCTACACCCCAGGGCGCCTCGTTATCGGGCACCGTCCCCCCAGCCCACACACCCCGGGGTTGTCACCTGCTGGCCCTGCCAGTAATTGCTCTCTTCTTCCTTCCGTTAAATAACTACCCATTCTCCAGCCAGCCCCCCTGCAGGTGTGAGGCCAAGCGGGTGAGAAAGACAAGCGGTGGGAAGGGTGGTGGGGGAGAGGCATGTCACTCACAGAGCAGTGCTCTTCCTATGCACGTAGGATCAGCTGGCCCCAAATCCTGCTTTTCGGAGGTGTTTGTGGAGGAAGGAGGCTAAGCTAAAGACAAGAAAAGAGTTAGCTGAACATACTGTGGGGGGAGAAAGACAGAAATTGCAAATTAAGCTTAATTAGCAGGAGACGTTCCTTATGAATGTATTCAGGAATGCTTTTCCCTGTAGCTTTTCACAGCAGTGGAAGTGTGGGCATGTTTTTACACATGGGAGACTGATAAAGGATGTTCTTCTCTAAATACAAATCTCTGCCATTCCTTTTTAGCTGCCGGACGCCAAATCCCACCTTTGTTTCCAACGGTTTGCTGAGCGTTGCTGAGGGTCTGACCTGCCTGCGCGTTCCTGCCGCAGGGGTGCCAGAGCCCGTGTGGCCAGGGAAGCTCTTTTATGCATGGGCAGGCTGTATCCCGTCAGGACACTTAACTGTTCCATTCTCATTAATGTAGGGTCATGGCAGTGACAGTCCTAACGAAGCTTTCACCTTTCCTTCTCACTTAACGTTCGCTAATGTTTTGAAGAACTGGTAGGTCCTTTTTTGCCCTCTTGAACAGAAATGTCACTAGCTTTATTTTACTTCCACGTAACCTTTTACGTAACCTCCCTTGAATGACCATCTTCTTCGGCTCATTTTATTATTGTTCATTGCTCGTACAATGGCGGTGCTTAGGGGAAGGGGGTCATGCGTGCTGGGGTCCCAGTGACCTTGCCCCCCTCCCTCCTCCCTCGTACCTTCTCCGTTGGTCACATTGTGACTTATGGCTGAGAACATCATATAGGGATGGGTTTGAATGGATTAATTTGAAGGACTGAGGCTTAGAAAGCCAGTTAGGGGCTTAGCTGGTCTCCCTAACTTTAGTGGGAGTTCTGGGGCTTTAAAGGCTGTTGTACTATAACAGAGATGCCACGGAGAATATTTTTTCTGCTAAAGCAGAACAAATACCTGGTATCTACCAAGGTGACTCGTCACCAGGATTGCCATCAGGGAGCCAGATCACGCACAACCTACATCGAACCCATGCTACTCTCCCAGAGGAGCAGTCACTGGCACCTTTCCCCCATCCCAGAAGGGGCAGGGAGATGCATGTGCCACCCCCACAGACTGCCTAGGAAAGTTCACATAGCTCACGGCATGTGTTCAGTCTTTCAGAAGATCACCGTCCCTAGAGCTCCTGGGCTCAGCTATAGCTGGAGGCTAGAGGAGCTGCACAACCCAGTGCCAGGGTTAGCAGGAGGGTCCACGCTTGGGCTGGTCCCGGTGATGGTGTGCGGGAAGCGGTACTCTGCAACCCCTGCTGCAAGGACATTTCTACACCAGGGATGTGACATGAGCCGCCTGCACATGAGCGAACCGCCCGCGAATTAGCTGTGCCCAAGCGAGAGCAGCCGACCAGCGAAACAGCAATGCGAGCTGTGCGGAGTGACTGCATGAGTCACTGGCTGTGCTAAATCAAATACAAGAGATTTGATTTTCCATTTGGGAGGATTATATAATCATCATTAATTAAGCTTCAATGAGAAAAGCAGGACTGTAACCTGACGGGAAGACTCAGTAGTCCCTTAAGAGGAGGGGAGGTGGCCCATGGGCCACTCAGAAGAGGAAGGTGGAGTTCCCTCTTTGCTTCTGTGAGAAATGCCTACTTGCTCTCAAAGCAAAAGGTTGGTTTTTTTTTTTTTTATTTGCAAATAGGAACTCTTCCCAATATTTTTATATATTTCACGTTCTGGTCCTGTAGTCCAGATTTTAACAAGAGAGATGAATATACGCAAACATCTGAGGGAACCGAGTGCGATCACCGTACCTATTGACCAGTAGTACCTGATAAGGGCCAGAGTCATGTCAGCATCACCAATGAATAATGCAGTGGCTCCCATCCAGTTTTGCCTGAGGGCTGAGGGGGGAGGCAAGTAATAAACATAATCCTCAAAAAAATCCAAGGAAATGTTTAGCTCCCAGTATAAAATGTCAAATTAAGTGAGAACAAATTATTTTACAAAGCCACTGAATAGCTCACTCCAATAAGAAAAGATAAGGCGGGCTGGATTTATCCCTCCTGGGAAAATTGTTTGTACGTTTGTAAACAGAAAAAGATCTCTTACAATTATATAACCAAATATTGGCTTTGGTATCCTGCTTCTGAGGTGACATACTTGCTTAAAAACTCCAGTGAGGGACAAAGCCAGAGTCCTGCCTTTCAAAGTGTTCAACAAAAGAAAAAAGGACCACCAGCATCTTTAAAGTGGCAGATCCCTCCTTTCATCCAAAATGCCTGAAGTTTTCCTCTTAAGGGAGGAGATAACTGTTACGCAAAAAGAGTTCCTGATCAAGTAATATAATTAAATATAATAGTGGAATTTAAAATTGTGCATTTTTGTTCCCAATTACATGGAAACTCAGGAAGTATCTGGTTACTGGATGCTAACAATAGCAGATACTCTACTGTTAGCTGATATATCTCTTAGAGATAAGAATAACCATCAAGGAAATCATTACGCTGGGGAGAAAAAAAAATCTTTTCATTCCCAGAACAATTAATTGAATCTGAATTCCCTTTTAAAGGAAATAAACAGATTTATACAGAAGATGATACATTGATCTTGAGCCTCTGTAAGCATATGCAGAAACATCTGATAACAAGAATAACTCAAACTGAAATGAATGTTTTGATCAGAACCGACAGCCGTGTATTATTATTTACTATTAACAATATTCTAGAAGCTGCAGCTAGCAATCTGCAGCGCTTATGCCGTGCTCTCTATGGGCACTTAAGAAAAAAGGCACCATTCCTGTCCTAAAGAATTTACTTGGGATTCATATCAACAGAGGATGGCGAGGGGGGAAACAGGAGGAGGAAAGAGGAGAGAGGAGATCAAAGTGGACAAGTGGTGTATGGACACCATCACTGTTACTCATCCAAAGCTACTGAGTGCAGTCTGGCTTGCCACTAGCATTTTAGATTTCTTCATTATATATATTAATTGCTGGATATTCTGTTTATCTGTGATCTGAATTTATTTATGTGAAACAATCTGGACTTTATTCTGGTCTGTTTGGCTTGTGTTTTTTGAAATCACTGTTCAGTTTGTTTGACAGTCACTAAGACTGGGTCTTTAAACATTAATATCTACTGACAAAATAGGAAGGAGGGATTTCTTCTTTCGAATGGCATAGATGAGAGGCTTGCTGTTATAGGAAGAATATGGTTTAAACAGCCTAAGTTAAAATAAGATGACCGAGCAACTGACTGCTGTACTATTATTACCTGAATAATGTGGCATCTGGGGTTTTTTAAACATGTTTTCATTCATTTCATGTGACATGATTTGTATCCCTAAGGGTAAAAAATTTTTTGTCTATGGTAGTTAAGGGCTTGGTTCCTTATATATATTAGTTATTTTTAACATCTTGTCCTTAGTGTCCTGGTCCTTTTTATAAAAAACCAAAACCAACCAACCAAAAAAACCTGTATATAGGCAAATCAGTTTCTTTCTATCTTCTTATATGATATTTGCAGATAATTTAATACTTCTTCCACAAAAGAACTTTGTGGTAGCTCTAGGAGCAGCAGGTCTGATAGGTAACCACAAAAACTATTGAAATGCATGCTAAGGAGCATCAGCTAACTGATAGATATGAGATAACTGTTTCACCTTTCTAATTGTGTATTTAGCTTTGTCACGCGACCTTCTAATTACCTACCTAGGATATTTTGTCTAGATCATTTAATTGAGAAACACACATGCCCTCATTTACCCAAGCCCACCTGTTTATAGCCAGCTTAACATCTTCATCGGGCACCTTCTGACAAAAGCACTCCAAGAGCTGTATTTGGCTTATAAATGTTAATATCATCATAGCCTCAGACTTCATCCTATATTTTCCATTCCACTATTTTTCTGTGATGCTCTCAGAAAGTTCACTGCTGAACTTTGCTACTTCAAGATGTTGTGTGTTTCTTTCAGAGACTGAGAATTATAAAGTATGATTTTTCAGAAGACGTGCTTAAAAGATTATGCCAGGATTTATTTCTTTAATTCATGTAATGATCTCTTTTTTTAAGTATACTTTAAAATTTCTCAATAAAAAAAAGTTGAAATTTGCTGACCAGCTGCAAGAGCAGAGCAAAACAGGGTGTGCAGATAGAGCTGTGGAAAGAACAGATACCAACAAAATAGGTCAGGCAGCAAACTAACTCAGAAACAAACGTGCGGGGGTTTTTTCTTTCAGTTATTGTAGCTGTTATTTTCAGATGGAGATTTACATTTCAAGGTGGTGGCTACCTGCCTGCATCATCGAGGCTTTTAATGCTCTGGACTTTGTCAAAGGCAGCTGAGTATGGGGATGGCACAGTAGCTGTTTGAAGACGGGATGACTTTCAGCCAGGCCAGCTCTATCTCATCTCCTTGGGCTTATTCATTCACTGCCGCTAAGTTCAACATTCCCAAATGTTGTGATGAAATCCCAAACTTACTACATAGCTGTCCTATATGGTCATTATTGCCCTTTTAGTATTGCATTTACCTCTTGGAAATATAATCCTATGTTGTAAATGCCACATTCAGGGATGTATTCTGCTCTCTTCTGGGAATCCGTCTCAGGCTCACGGCTGTTTACATCAAACAGCCGATGTAAAAAAGCCAGACGCTCTCTTTGGTGCGACTCGGTCTCCATGAGGCATTTCTTCTGCAGCTGGTGTCCCTTGCGAGCCCATGGGTTCAATAACTAGGTTAACTTCTCATACCTGTACTTAGGAGGCTGAATGTGCTTATCTTATTTTCATATCTTAGAGCCCAGCCTGCAAACATTTGCTACTGAACTTGGCTATTACAGAGAGAAACGGTCCCATTGACTTCAAATGTGACAACGTATTACGTAGTGAGCTTGGAAGTAACTTTTTACAATGTGGGTTTATAGCAATCCCATTCATTTATAAACAGGACTGACTACAGAAATCGACAGACTTGCACAAAAAAAGAAGAACCAATAACTCGTTACTCAGGCTTCTCCTGTTTCCTGTAGCTCCTAACTCTTTCTTCTTTTTTTCCACCTCTTGTATTAATAATCACATAGAAGCCCTCATATATGCACATAGCCCCAGGAGTAGAATGGGAATACATATTCCTAGGAAGTCCCCAGAGCAAGTGTTCTTTGCTGGTGAAAGGAGGAGAATTTTGCCCATATTTTTTATCTTAATATCCAGCCAGCCATGCCCTCCAGACTCAACTGCAAGAGAGGACTGTAATCTCTGTGGATATTCACATCTGCGTTGCCTTCTCAGATGAGGAATCTTTCTTCCCCTTTTTGGCGCAATATATATTGTGCACACAGTGGCCTAAATCAGTTAATCACAGGTGTGAATTCTCCTCAGAGTACTTGTTTTTCTGTCTCTTGTCCTGTTATCCTTGTTATCAGCTATGTATCGTTATTCTAAGGCTTTTAATAGGTTGAACTGGGTTCCAAAAGCACATGTGATAAGTCGAGACTTCTTCCATCTCTACAGTTTATGCTAGTGAACTAAAGCCCAGTGCAGAAGCACCCCAGAATAAAAATTGCTAGTTATCTCCTCCCCAGATAGACACAAAACTCTTCACTTTCACAGGAATGGACATGGTTATCCTTGCTTTGTCCTGTGCAGAAGAGACAAACTGTAGGAAACTTCTTAAAGTCGGATATAGGGGCGTAATAGTAAGGAAAGATAGTTTCATATTAGCATTAATCCCTATTAGCATTAGATTAACTCATATTGGGGAACTCTGGCTGCTAGATGGGACCTTCTCTGCTCCCATGGGAGATAGTCGGCTGGGCAGGGCAAGAGCCCATGGGGCCGGCCCATTTCCCACTGCAGCTTAGCACACAGTTTTCTTTCACTGCTGTGGGAGCGGGATTATCATCTCTAAACAGCTCGAATTTGGATGAAGAATTTGCATTATGTCATTCTAACATGGGACTGTGGGCTAGCTTAAGGCAACGCGTTCTTTTGGCAACGCATCTCTGTGGCAGGAGGTGCTAGTGGGCCCTCAAAGCAACACAAGAGCCATGCAATCACGAAAGACAGATAAAAAACCATACACAAAATCTGTAGCCACATCGCGTCCAGTTTTTCCTTCTGCCCAGTGTTTCAGGAGACAGCAGGCCATCTGCAGACTCACCAGAAATGCCCAGCTCTGGAAGCCAGTGCCATACACGGGGTCCTCTTTGCTCTTCTTTAAAACAAGGCGAAGTTGAGCACGCTGGGGACGGTTCTCCTTAGATGCAGAAGGGGAAGGTGCACTTCAGCAGCGGAGAATCACAAGCAGCTTCGTGCTAGCTCAATGAAGCCTCACTGGCTGTGGGCCCCGGTGTTTTGCCACTGATGACTTGACAAACTCTCTTCAGCTACCTCCCTTGCCAATGCTTTTTTTCATTGCCTCATGGAAGTTAGCGGACTAGGCATGCTGCAGCATATATTTTTTTCTTGTGAGTGGTGAAAAAGAGCAATTGGATGCGTGGGGTTTCTTTCCAGAAAGCTGGTTTATGCTCTGTAATAAGGTTTGGCCTTATTTTTATCAGGATTAACCTATAAGATTCATACTTGAAGTTAAGCTCTGATGTTTTTTTGCCTAACATGACTGACTTGGATTTAAATATATGCATATCAGCTTTAAAAGCTTTTAGAGCACTTCTCTGAATAAAATTAGTATTAGTACGCTTCAAGTGTGCAAAATATTCAGGGAGAGCAAATCTCATATGAGGCATAACTCTGGGTCCCGTTTTTTTCCCTACCTAGTGCCTAACTCCACTTGCAATGGCTTTGACGAGGCTGTCCCAAGGGCTTACAGAACATCCTCGGGAAAGCAGGTCTGCTTCGTTGCGACTGTTCGTTTGGCAACGCCTCAGTTTTTAAAGGTAAGTGCGTACCCTGGATCCCATTCGTTTCAGAACTTCTCAAAACACTTTCAGACGGTGTAACACGCAAAGTTCTTAATTTTGCTAATTGAATGGATTACAGATATCACATTTCATGCATAAAAATCCAGTGAAGAGGATTATCAGTGTGAGCCAGGATCTGCAGAAGCGGTGTCACTTCTGCCCCCCTTGCACGGGAAATGGAAACCCTCATTGCATTAGGAATTGCAAAGTCACTTTAAAATTGGGTTCTTCATTGCCTCTTTCTGTTCCTGCGATGGGACAGTGTACAGATGGCCACCAATGCTTTCATTTGTGCCCCTCGGTGTCTTCAGGTGACTGCTGCTAGTTTTCCTCCTCCCAAACCCTGGCAGTAAGAGAGTTGCTTCTGGAAATAAGGATAGACAACCCAACCTTGTGCCCGGCACTGTGGTTCCCTAATTAACAAATGTGAGCTACTGCATCAGGCGTCCCATCCTCAGAGGTTAAGAGATTAAAAAGCCTAATTGAGACCTAGCCAGTATGAAATCACTGCTCCCTTGGCCTGGCTCCATTACTGCTCAGGGACCTGCAGGGCACTCTCGACTGATTCACAGCCCCAGCAGGCAAGTAGAGTCCCTTCTGGGTAAGTAAGTGAGGACACTTCTCATAAATCTTAACCACAGTAATCATATTAGCAGTAGAGGCTGGAGTTAAGGTTCTCCGGGAACCCTGAAAGCAAATTCCCTTGTCTTTGGGTAGCTAACATCTCAAAATAAACAGGGAAACGAAATGGGCTGTACACGGCAATGAGCTGCCCAGTGCTAGTGGGGAGAAGGTGTTAGCTGCCAGGAAACCCTGAACACCAATCTCTTCAGTTCACCTGCATGACTCATTTAACCACTGGTCTTGACTTCCTGCTCTAAAATGAAGGCAAAAATATTTATGACTGGCTAAGCAAGGCAGAATCAGCATTTTGGTTGCACACAGCAATGTTTGCATGTTGCACCTTGAATTTTACGGTATGTTCTTGGCATCAGCATGGATTTTGGTGTAAACTGGAGGAGGGGATAGAGGAATTTAAGGTATGCGTGAAGCCTTTTGCCAATGTACACTCAGCAACTTCAGTCAACTTTGTGAGTATTGATACATATCAAAGAAACGCTTGATGGCAGTGCACCTCAGCTTTTCCTCTGGTCTCAAGAGGTTTTAAAACATTGGTGGCCTGAAAGACTTCTCTCCCTGAGAGTGACAGCAGAGAGAGAAGTGGCAGAGGAGACGATGAGAAGGTGTCACTTGCACAGGGGGACGTGGCACCAGGGAGCAGGGGGAGAGCAGCACTGGGGGCCAGCCATCAGGCTGTCCTTACCAGTGACAATGAAGACCCTCCTGCAGGAGAGACATGGGAGACACAGTAACCCTGGATGCCACCAAATCCTGAGCACTGACACTGGCAAGTCCCATCCAGGGGTCTCCAGGCTGACAGCTCGTGGAGCTGGAGTTGCCCCTGCAAACCACCATTGGGAGAGGAGAGGTCGGCAGAGGGGAGCTGCAGGCAGGCAGCCAGCCCCAGCCCACGCACGGGCGTGCACCGCGGTGCCATCCTTCCTCCCCTTCCCACCTCCACCCAATGACTAATCACTACCATCTGATCCCCCATCCCTCTGGGCCAAGGATGTCCTGCCTCACAGGCAGCCCTGTGCCCTGCCTCCTGTAATTCACTTATTACTTATCATTCTCAACGAGTGCCAAGGGCTGCTGTGAGTCTTAAGAGCCAGCTTCTTCCCACCGGGCACTGGGGTGCCGAGGGTCCAAGCACAAGGCAAAACCTCCGCCTTTCACCCGCCTGATGGGCCCCGTGCAGGCTGCCTGCCTGAAAAGGCATTTCCCCCTCCACAGCGCATAGTGCACCCAGCTATTGAGCGGGAAGGAGTGTCCCCCTTTCTCAAAGAGGGCTCAGAGGGCAGACATCCAAAAGGGCCAGGCAAGGGCGGTGGGTATCTTTAGTAACACAAAGAGAGCGAGGAAAGAAGTGGCAAACCCAGGTGGGACCAAGCACAGGCTGGATGTTGGGAAGGGGCATTGCTCCTCGGGGCCGTGGGGAGCACAGCTCTCACACCCCGGGCACTGCTTCAAAGCCATAAAAACTTGGGCACCCTGAGGAACAGTCATGGCTCTTAAGTCCATGTGCATCACAAGTTCTTCTCCCCAACTCCTGCAGAAATGTTGGCATTGATAAATACAATAGATCGTTCTCTGGAATTGCCAGAAAATGTGTGAATCCTCTGTTTTCTCCTCTTATGCACCGCGTATTTATAGCTAACAAAAGCTAGATGAAGCAGAGGGGTGAAGCCGCAACTCTCAGTAAGTCAGTTTTCTTCACCACACAGGAGATGTGCATCGTGGAAGAACCTCTAGAGGAATTCACATCAAGACACAGTCTGGAGTGGAAATTTTTATTCCTGGATCACAGGTTGGTGACAAGAAAAGCACGCCTGGTTGCGTTCGGTGCTTGTCTACTGCTATTTTTCTAAGTGCAATTCTCTCAAATAGTGTCACATTTCACATCTAAACAGGAGGGCAACCACTGCAATTGCTACAAAAGATGATATTTACTATTTTACCCTGCATTATTTTTATCAATCTTTTAAAAGAAAACTACTCTGTTTCTCAGGCCGAATTTGTGATTAGCTTGTTCTTGTTTGCTCTAAAAATATCAATGGACCAAAGTCTGCCACATGGCAAAATCGTCTAATTATTATACAGCTGCAGAAATCATTCTTTCCAAATCCAGCCATTGATTGTGTGTGTGCAATTCCCACTGAGTTACGGAGCGAAAGTCTGCGCTGGCCTGAGGCAACCGTGCTGGCAAAGGTACAAAGCAACTGCCTCAGCACGCCACGGACGAGCTCTGCAGACACCCAGAGGGAAGCGGCACAGATGATCTCCCCTCCTGCCCCCCTAGTCCCAGCAGATGATGGCTTCCTATCACCTCGCCACGTGCTTTTCCCCGTGCAGGGACTGCGGGAGCCACAGCAGAGCCCCTGACCAAGGAACAGCAAGGGAATGGCTCCCTCACAGCAGGTTCTTGTGTGAAGGTCCCTGAGAAGCTGAGTTCCTTTCCACAACCACATTTTCCCTGGAAAGATGGGGTTGTCATGGCCTTGTCCTGGGGGGAAGGTGCCATGCCCAGCCAGGCATCCCAGGCACAAGGCGGGGGAAAGTCGGGATGCGGTCCACTGGGGTGGACGACTGGCAAGAGCAGATCTGGGCTTTTTACATATCCGTGTCAACGTGCAGAACTGCCGTTTCTTTCGTGGTTTATGAATTCACTCATATTGTGATTAATCGCAGAGCACCGCCGATTATAGGATACTTGCCTTTTGAAGTGCTGGGTACTTCTGGCTACGACTATTACCATATAGATGACTTAGAGCTGCTAGCAAGGTGCCATGAACACTGTAAGTATCGCATAGCCCAGGTTCCTGTGGAGTCACTGGGACACCTCTTTTCACTGAAATGTAGTTTCAGTTAAAATTGGTTTAAACTTGGAAGGTGAGGTTTGACCCTTGCCTCACGCCTGTATGTCTTAGCGGACTTATAGCAGATTGGGGGCACTGCAGCTGATCGGTGTCTAGGCCAGACTTATCAAGCTCTGAAAAATACAATTTTACCTTCTGAATCCCCAGAAGCAGTCAGCGAGACTCACTGAATGGATAAAATACACCAGGTTAGACACCTGCTCTACTAGTAAAGAATATACAAGAATAGTTCAAGCAATCTCAGAGGAGATCCTATTTTGTAAAATTCTGGCAGATTATTTACCCTAATGTTGTTCACCGTGTATTTGGGATTACCTGTGATTATTTAAATATAGTCTGTTAAGATTTAATTGAAAAACTCTTTTTCACTAAGTAAAGAAAATGAGGCAATGCTTTTCAAATATTTGCTTACAGAACTGGCTGGAACATCTCAGCTTACCACCTCTGGGTGTCCTGAAAATATCCCGTCAACATTAGTTTTTAATGTTTAACAACATTAATGTTGCCATTAAAATATAGAAAAGCTAAATATGTGCATATTTGGGAACCCCTTGAAATCACTGGGGGAAAAAAGCAGAGATTAATTTTGTTGGTGAATCTTTAAAACCTTTAATACACCTCAGTTTACAACACTTTGAATTCTTGTCAGTCTGGGAATTTTCTTTCAGTTTCAAATGATTTTTGTCTTTGCACAATGTTATCTCCTATACTCACTTCATTCTGCAGAGAATACTCATCTTTTCAAGCATTTTTATCCTGTACTTTTCTGCTATAGAACTTAAGATGATCACTCTTAGAAATTAATCCCAGATGCCTAATTAAGCAGTATGTGATCAGCACATAAACCAGGGTAAGGTCTACATTTAAGTTGTAGCAGACATTAACGCATTAGTGTCCAAAGTTAAGGTTGATTGTACCGTGTAGGAATGTATCGTTCAAAGCGTCAGAAGAAGACACATACTGATCTTCATGATATTTGCTCTGTCACACAACTGACAGGATGACTCACTCGAAAGGTGCTTAGACTCCTGTCTCCCTTGGGAATCGATGGGGCAACAGATATTTTTGTCACTCTTCACGTTTCATGTCATTTTCACATCGGAAATTGTGCTACAAGCTGTGTGTATTTTCTGCTGACAGTGATGCAGTTTGGCAAGGGGAAGTCGTGCTGCTATCGGTTTCTGACCAAAGGACAGCAGTGGATCTGGCTCCAGACCCATTACTATATCACCTACCACCAGTGGAACTCCAAGCCAGAATTCATTGTGTGCACACACATGGTGGTAAGGTATGGAAACTCCTGTCAACCAGCGGGGACGTAAAGGACAGTAAGATAAAGGCATCCTCATGACTGCCAATGTTTTCTCTATAGAAACACGATGTCTTATGTAACAAAAATGAAGCCTGAACTCTCTGAAGGAAATATGTTCGTTATTAAAAAATGATCAGCCTAAACCTTACTTTATGCTAAGCTTGATTTGTCAATCATGAGTTTAGGGGCAGATTAACTGTTGCATTTTTCCATTTTGTGCAAAAATAGGGAATAGACAGATCCCTGAACTACTCACTTCCTCTAATCCTTATGTTGCTTTTAAAGAGATGTGTGGAAGCTTTCCAGTGAAGTTATAAAGTGGTTGTAGGATGTGAACTTGACCTTTATATATACACTTCTTCAATATACTTTTTGACTTCAAGAAGACAGGAACAGCAAAAGCTGAAAATTAAAACAGTCTCTCAAATGTTATTCAGTAGCATTTGACTTACTTAAGTGATTTTTCAGCTGTTCATTTAACCGGTAAATGTTACAATAATTTGTTCCTCCACTTGCTTAAAGCACATTTTATGAAATATAACAATACCATGTTGATACATAGAATTATATTTTCCATTCAGTTATGCAGATGTTCGGGTGGAGAGGAGACAGGAGATGGGCTTGGAAGAAGTGTCCTCAGAGGTTGTGTCCTCAGCACTAAAGGTACAACGAGGAAAGCTTTTTTCATGAATATAGGTAGTAATCACAACTTGTTCCTATGTTAACACCAGTGAAGACTCCAGCATTGTCTTTCTGGGTGGATTCCCCAAACTTCCGAATTTATTGCTCACTTCGATAACTTTAACGTAAATTGGATAAGCTCATGAAAGGATAAACCTGGAGATCAGTAACAGCCACAAATGAAGTGGAACATGGGCAGAGGCAATGTGAGAGATCTCCACCTTTCCTTGGTGAGGTACTACAGTTTAAAGATTCATTTGGACATGTTCTGGCAATCAGCCTTCTTGGCTACATCTCAGTGATCTGCTGAGGGAAGAAAGAAAAGCTCCTCCTCGGTGCACGGCTGAGTGTCTCAGAGAGGTTGCAGCTGCTGTCACATCCAACTGAATGCAAAAGAAAGATTCAGAAAAACATCTGAAGCCACAAAACGACTATAGCAGTAGTTTGCTATTTATTTCCAACTCAGTGATAGCTCTTTGCAAAATGCATTAGTTAGATGCTATTTGGAAGGGATATTGACACTTGTGCCCAGGTCTTCTGCTGGCCTACCTGGGATTAGTTGTGCTCAATTCATTTTAGGCCAGCCAAAGAACTGGGTGTGCAACCATTACCAGATGCATTTCAAAATGTTTTCACCCTGACAGATGCAATAGCTATTCCCTTTTTTGTTTGTTCGTTTTAGGACAGTGGCGCCAGCTTGGATCCTGAACAGCACTTTAATGCACTTGATATTGGTGCCTCAATCCTCAGCGCTAGTCGGACACCCTCAGTATCATCCAGGAGCTCACCAAAATCTTCCCACACACCCAAGTCGGACCCAGCATGT